CTATTATCGTGCTGCAATTTAAGCTATATAAACTAGTTTTTTTATTACATGTATTGAATCAGCCTTACGTTTAAACCCGCTGCATTTGTTTGCACCTGTCCTAAGTCAGGAATCTGATGTTCAGTGGTTGTCGTTTGTTGATGTGGTTCATAAGTGTTTCTCGTTTCTCGTTTTTTATATAGATTAGACCGTTGGTTTTCACGTTTGAATGGTTTTACACTAGTCATTGTTGGTGCCCTTTATAGCTTCTGTTCGGTGTGAGTCAAGGCTCCGTGTTGAAGGCCGTACTTTGACCTATAATGGTTTACTTTTACAAATTGTGACTTGGATGGAGAGTAAGAAAAGAATTTTAAATTTTTCTGAAACAGAAATTCAAATATTTTTGACATTTCAATTAATGTTGTACCATTTGGTCAGGTGCAAAACATGTTGCTAACATTTAAGCTTCAAAAAAGGGCAGCACGAAGTATTACAAATGAGCGTTATAGTATGACATCGTCAAACTACTTTTTGAAAAGCTGCGATGGATGCCAAATTCAGATTATTTTGTATATATAAAAGCAATTATAATTCTTAAAGTAGTTCACCAAATGACTCCGGAACAATTCAGAGAATTTAGATATGTGTATCAGGTTAGTTCTAGAACAACCAGACAAAGTACTTGTAATATGCTTTTTGTTCCAAAAACTTAAACTGAATACTATAAACGCTCCTTGTTGATATCTGGAAGTATTTATGGAACAATTTGTCAACAAATTTAAAACAATATAACACAATTGAATCTTTTAAAAAACATATATTGAGGACTATTTTGTTTAATTCTTATAACAGTATAAATAGTTAATATTTGTATCAGTATTTCTATACAATATGTATATAATGCAGGACCTTATTATAAATAAGTCGTGGACTAAATATGTTATCCTGTTGAATAAAAGGAAATTAATATTATTGTTAAATTCTGTTCTCTATTCAGCGAGCTAGCAAATGTGGCGAAGAATAATTTTAAGAAGACATGGGATAGTATATACACAAAGATAATTTTTTCAAATGCTGACTAAAGGTCATATTTGTTTTTTTTATTCCGACTTAGGACATCGTGACTTTTAGGACTTTCATAAGACACCTATGTATATATTCTTAATTTATGACCAGATTTAAGACATATCTTATCGTAGGAGACTTTCGCTAACATGACCTAGGACTAAGACCACCCTAAGACATGTCCTAGTTCTTAGACAGCTTCATTGACACGGTCCCTGGATCCTAGCTTCAAGTCAACCAAATGGAAGTGAATATAAGATGACATGTAAGGGGTTCATATTTCATAAAGTATCGTCTAAATGAAGTTCTCGCAGTCAAAAATCAAGGAACTGTAACTCGATTTTCCCGCTCTATTAAAAGTTTTAATTAATTTCAACCAATCTCGATCATGATGATCTATTCGACGTTCTTCTTATGAAATATCTTTATTCTTTAAACCAAATCAATTATACATTTAAAATCATAAACGTACTTTAAATTCATCCGAATAAAAAACATTTCTTATCTATATACATGGCTAAATAAGAGGCAAGTCAAAAAGTATGTTTGGTTTTCTCACAGTGACTTATTAATTCTTAATATTTCCTTATTAAACATAAAAAATACCAAACACAAATCTAGCTATAAGCTAAAATCAATACGATATACTATAAATAATATACTATGCAGAACATGTGGTACTAAGAAGTTACTGTGAGCACCTCGATACATGCCTTATAAGTACTTAAATAAAACTATAAAACCCCAACCGTAATAGTGCCAAAGAAATATGTGCGGAGTTAAAACAATACTAACACAACGACTTATAATCATTATACAAAAAGTATAAAAATAGGAATAGAAAAGGGAAAATCCAAATATAACGGAATTGCTTCCACTCAAACATCTTTCTATTCCTTCCCTCAATTTTTCAATATTTATTTCATCTAATCATCGAAGTGTATCTGTTAGATGTGGCTGAAACTTTAACCCTATGGAATATTTACTTCCGTAGTGAGAGCAATCAATTTACTGCACATCTTAGAAGAAAATAATACATAAAAAAAAGAATTCGGTCTGTTGCAATACTGAAACAAATCAAATTGTGTTCCAATTACAGCAACAACAATAAAAAAAAACAACAACAAATAAACCAACTTCGGTGTCAAAACTTAAGCATTAGTAATTTAAATTGTTATGGATTGTAACATCAATTTGAAAAGGTACGTAAAACAATAGTAATCTCAATCAGATGTTACAAGTCTTTTAACACCTGATGTTTGTAGTAAGCATACAAAAGTATTTATCAAGGAAACCGTTTAATCACCCTGAAGACAAAACTCGTACAAATTACATACTTAACAAGGTTACAAAAAATTTGTAATGTTATGTCTCACATGAGTGGTTGATAAATGTCATAATAATTGCAGTAATTGTTATATACCGGGGTAGATTAAACTAATAACATAGTATATGCATGTAACAGACTATATTGAATTATATCATGAAGTAATATAGATGTTTTATGATGATATTAATTATGTTGCAGTCAATTATATGTCATTAAAGTTCCCCTTTTCGTAGGACGTTTATCTATGTCTGTCACTGTGACAATATCGTGATCATCATCAAAGAGACATTTCTTTATGTTAATTAATTGTTTTGAATTGAATTGAAGTTGGATTCAACTAGTGATTGGTGGCAACTAGTGACTTAGATAAGCTTTTAGGCAGCTTTTATGCAAAGAAATTTCATCTAGGTCACATTGTATAGACATTTACATAGAAATTGTACCCAACCCTAGAAACATGTGGAATACAGATATCATCGTCTTTAACAAAAAAGTTTAAGTCAGCAAGTTTAATGAAAGTCCGAAAGTCTACTTAGTTGCCGTTAACCTTATGTTTGAATATGATACAAAATGATAAGATATAAAAATAATAAAAATATTTTTTGCACATTATTCGCTGGAAATCAAATGTAAAATACGTATATGTATTTACACTTATAATCCTAAACCATAACGATATTCATATTTTGGCATTGCATAGGTAATGCTTTTCTCCAACTGCTTAATTTATGACGTCCTTATACTTAATCAGTCGGAGGTGTACTGATTGAAAAATTAACCTAAGAGAATATGATTTATTAATTATTTTAAAATAGACTTCAAACTAGCTTTCAGTAACTGTGAGTACTCTTGGACGGGTACTTTGTGTCTTTTGTCTTTTATTGAGGTCTTAACTGGCCAAGTACAGGTATGAGCCCTTTCCAAAAAGGAAGCGAAAGATACAAAAGGGACATTCAAACTCATAAGTCGAAAAAAACTGACAACGCCATGGCTAAAAAAGAAAAAGATAAACAACAGTACACAAAACACAATATAGAAAACTAAAGACTGAGCAACACGAACCCCACCAAATACTGGGGGTGATCTCAGGTGCTCCGGACGGGTAAGCACACCCGTCGTATTGCTCATGCAAGTACAAACCCGGTGATAAGTCTAATTCGGTAGATCACATACGGGGAAAAGAGGACGGTATTGAAGTTACGACAATTGGAACATATCGGTCGTCATCAGTGAAACAGATATTAAATAACGGTCAACCAACTCGTGATGGCGTGATTTTTAATAGTTGGTTCTTGTGTTATTATTTTTTTCACACCATTGTGTCAGATTAGGCGGAGGGTTCACAACTAAGTTAAATACTTCCATATTTATTATGTCCCTGTCGCTAGCCTGTAACCTATAAGCCAGTGGTTGTTTGCTGCTGTCTGCCCTATTTGTTTTCTGCTTACTGTTTTGTCATGGAAAAAAGATTGAATGAAACACATTTAACTTTCTTTTTGAATTCGGTTGTAAACAAAAGGTTTCTCAAACTACTAGTTTCAAAGTAATATCACTTAAAAGCAGAATCACTAGCCAGCGGGGTAATTATAACGTATGGGACTTGAAGTCTACCCCTCGGTCGTCCACCGGGCTATTTATACCGTGCGATGCTTGTAATCTGTCCCACAAATCTGGTGCATCTTAGATGTGCATTACCGACATCACAAATATCAATGGAAATAATACTATCCGAGTTTTTTAAAAAATATCTTTACTGCCAACAAGGGTGGTTGCGTTAATTGAAGTAATTTCAGAATATGGATAATAATACAGAAAATATAAGGAACAATCTATGCAACTGCCCGCTCACTTTTAAATCGTACGTTGTTTAAAATAATATTTTTTTCAAATCAAACTATTATATGATAATGACGACAAATATTATTTTATGCAGGATAGAAATGCTCTATTTAGTTTGATTGACAGTAAGTCAGTTTTTACATAAATCATGCAGATAATATAAAGATAAAGATGTCAGACAATACACTGAAGAGATATGCAATCTAAAAGAAGACACATGACTATGTATGTAAACTGGTAAAACTACGTTAAAATGGGAACATTACAAAATGAGTACAAAATATTCCGAAACATCTTTTCTCATTTAAATTTCATGGACGACTGTAGATTTGGATTTACAAAAAAGAGCAGTACATACAGCCGTTTTTATCGTCATAATAAATATGCAATATGTATAATATATAAGAGAGAAGTGCTTTACATTAAATACTGACCATCTGAATTTACATAAAACGCTGAACTTTTGAGTTTAATAAAACGCTAACCATTTGATTTTGATAAAACACTGACCATTTGATTTTTATAAACACTGACCCTTTGATTTTGATGAAGATGGACAGGAATTTAGCCAATGAGTGATGCGTTTATTGCCGCAGATTTTTTTCTGCAATAAAAAAATACCCAGATATCTTTTATTCAAACGAAAATGCTGCAAAATACACAGAGAAATTAGTAGGCCATCCAACTGAATTAAATGGTTAGGTCTTGATAATTTGTAACTCAAATAAGTTAGCATATTTCATCTTCTTTTGAACAGTCCCAAGCAGTGCTTAAATTATAGTCTTACCATTGTTTCAGAGAAGTCCGACAGCATAGTTGTTGAAAAGGAATCATCATGTTTCTCATGCTGGTTGTATCGATTATCCTCGAAATGTTTTACCCAAGATGGTGTTTCCATCACAATTTTCTTTTAATTCCTGAAATTTCCATAATGACCTCCTTTGGTCATAAGATAAAATTCAGAACATTTTGTATAATGGTATAATAATCCTTTGATTTTTAACTTGGAATTTTGTTTCAGAAGTTACTGAAATTCCATCTCAATCAATGAAACTTGCCTCCACGCCACGTTCGAGGACAATTCAACAGTGCATTACACATGCGCTAATACAAGGGAGTCCATTGTCTCTATCATTAAACCAGTCATGTAGAACTCCGAAGAACGATATACTATGTTAGACTTTTTTGGCCTAAAGCGAAATATAATCATTATATCCTTGCATTTTATCAAATGTATTAATACCATCTTTATAAAAAATCTTACTTCCTAGAGGGCTAAATATGCCCGTAGTCCAGATACCACCAATACACGCATTATTAATCGATAATGACTAAATTTAGAGATAAACTAATCTAACTATTTGCTCTTCTATGTGTTATTTAGGAAACTTTTTAGGCTCAATGTTTGGCAAAATATTTCAATCACAAAGATTCACCTAAAACATTCAAATCTTAATCATTCGGGAAAATGTTTAAAAGAGAAAGGTTTTGTTTTTCACTTATCAATACACTGAACTATCCCATATACAAAAACCTTTAATTATCCAATGATCATATCTAAAGAAAAATGCATTTACTTTAGATGAAAAATAATAAAAATTATGATTATGATAATGATAGAAAAAATTAATAATAATACTAATATTAATGATGATAATAATTATGATAATAATACTAATAATCAGAATGATAATAATGCTTTACTAATACTACTAATAATAATCAGCACCATCATCATTTGTAAATGTTGAAACTAGAGGAAATAACTTCATTCATGTAGAAAACTGGCGATATAGGAATAACAAGTCTGTCAAGGAGGAACCATGATCAAAGTATTGGATTTTAATAGGTAAAGTCGAGAGTCGAAAATTTATTCCGCATCTATTAACCTTTCAAGTCAACATGTCTCATAAATATTTGATAAGGTTAGAAAGAACAACAGACATTAATTATCAATAAATGGAGGCGCATAGTTCCGAAGTATCAACGGCACATCTACATCATTAGACTTCTTAATCTAGTTCTCAGTTTCCCTATGTTCTTGTAATCACTAGGGACTTTGACGTTAGTGAAAACGACAAGCAATGAAGCACCAAAGTGTATAATATATGTACCTTATATCATGAAACACAGCCCATCGACTGGAAATACAATATCAATTTAATGAGTGAAACAGCAGAAGACTTCGCAAAGGCAATCGGCGAAAAGAGTAAAAGAAGACTCTTAATGTGTTTTTTCCCTTATTGGACAGTTCTATAAGATCGTTTATATTAATCAAAATTCGACATCGTAAAGTGTCAATGAGTACCAATGCACCCAGTGTTTTATTTTCAATGACAATTTAAGTTTCCAAAACTCTGTTCAACATCCAAAACAAATACGTTACTTATAATAGCAACATTGTCGTCGGCAACGCTTCGTGTTGACTATCAGTTCCAGAAGATATACTGAGAAACCTTTCAAATGAACCAATGACAACGACAACCAATAAATTACGGGCTCATGACTTGGGACAGGAACATAACAAATATTTACTTTACATCTTTGCAAACATTTTTTATTGATAATTGCATTGATGTTTACTTTCTACAATCGTGGAACTTCATGCTTGTCATTTTCACTAACGTCACAACGTCCTTTAGTTTTTCACATTGTATCTATATATTTTACCGATTTTACGTGCATTATATAAAAAGTGTATCTGTTTGAAAAAAAAAATAAAATTAAAGATTAAAGAGATAAAATGCTGAAAATATAATAAATTGCAATGAAATTATCTATTCATACATTTATTTAGACTTGTCAAATAATAATTTCCTCTTTTTTTGCAAATAAAAAATGTAGATTAATGACTATGATAAAATTCCATACTGAATCGTTACATCAATTTGAACAAAACATATTGTTTTTGTCAAACCCACCAGAGAATCAAACTTAACACATATTTCCTCAACGTGAACATTCCTTTCTGAAGAATAGTGAAGATAAATGCACATTAGAAAGTTATGCAATCATTATCATTTCTGTACTTTAAAAAAAAAATTCATGCACAATCTTAAATTAGAGGCAACAGTAGTACCGTTGTTCCAATCTCATCAATCCATTAAGAAGATACAAATCAAGATAAAACAAAAACTGAAGGAATCGCAAGGACTCAAAAAAGGAGCAAGACTGAGCGGCTAAGTAGACAAGGATTGCGACTCTTTCTAGACACGCATCAACCGCCATGCGAATCCACACTCAGGCAATAATGTAATAACAAGAATACCGAACTTTAAGGTAAATTAACAAGGGAAGACGATAAAAACTGACAAAACTAAATGTTCGACTGAAACAACCAACGTAACGACGACGAGGGTGGTTTTTAACGACCTTGACTACGCATGAGGCTCTTGCACGGTCAGCCCAACCTAACGACTTGAAAACAACTGTCATATTCCTGACTTGGTACATGCATTTTACGAAGAAAATAGTGGGTTAAACCTGGTTTTACAGCTAGGTCCAAGTTTCCCACTTGTATGACAGTTGACTGTAGTTTTGTCATCTTGAAAGAAAAAAATCATATGTCACAATCGGGAATAGGACAAAAACGGTAAACCAACAGATCAGAAAACTATACTGGTATCTAAAGATATAAGACCGCGATAACATGTTGCTTGTCCATTGAGACACAGACATATCGTTTTTGTCCTCCGATTCGTGAAGGTGTCATTAACATTTATTTAGTGCCGATTTCAGTCGTGTTTCCTCTTTACTCTGTTAAAGCTGTTTGTATCATGAGTACACCCCTGTTAATGAAGTCCGTATAATGTGAACATGCACAAGCGTATATATGCCATAAGATGGGCAGATGGTATATTACTGCCAAGAAATGGAAAGTTGACTATTGGAAAATTCAAATCATCACTAGTGTCATATATACTAGTTTGAAGTCCATTTGTTTCAATGTCGAAGAAAAGATCACGATATGAAGCAGACCACCTAATTCAGTGGGAACCTTTATCTTGAGTTCGCTTGGATATATGAGATGCAAGAACTCACTGAAATGTTGGTTATTGAGGGACATCCTCACTAAATCTGAAAGTGAATTAAAGGAATTTGAAAATCTACAACGATTTTGGTTAGTAGATGCTGCATATTTGTTATGCCAAGTGTATTTGTAAAAGGTACTTCATGTTAAGAATAATCTTAAGTGCATGTCAAATGAGGAGTAAAATAACGTAAATTGTGGTTCATACACATTCTTAATAATTGTTCGGGATATAAAATTCAACTTATCTGAGGTGTTGGTGACTGCAAAATATGAATACATCTCCAGTGGGGGAAAAAAATGAATATTGCTATGGACTCTATCTGTTCAAAATATGTCATAGTACTACTGATCGACTTCATTTATTAAAACTGAAATGATCAGCTCATAAAGAGGCGAGTCATTTGAAAGACACAACCGGCAGGAAAAAATGGGTAATTTTTATAATGACCTTGGTGAGGATTTCATTTACATTTTCAAATGTTTCTTTCGATTGTTGAACTTAGAGTAATATTGATATCAAAATGAAATAAAGTATTTTTAATTGTCTCTTGTTTAACATGTTTTCCCGTTTAAACTGTATTTCAATTTTGTTTGAATGTTTAAATTTCCACGAATTCATTTTTAATTAATCAGTGTTTATCATTTGAAAGACATAACCGGCAGGAAAAATGGGTAATTTTTATAATGACCTTGGTGAGGATTTCATTTACATTTTCAAATGTTTCTTTCGATTGTTGAACTAAGAGTAATATTGATATCAAAATGAAATAAAGTATTTTTAATTGTCTCTTGTTTAACATGTTTTCCCGTTTAAACTGTATTTCAATTTTGTTTGAATGTTTAAATTTCCATGAATTCATTTTTCATAAATCAGTGTTTATAAGTAAAATTTCTATGATATCATTCTTTTTCTAGTTTTTCAGACGTATGGTATACATTTTGTAATGAAATAGTAATATGATATGTTAAATTTTGCATCTTAAAGACATTTTTTATTAAATCGATGACCATGAAAACACATAATACGTAAACTATCATTACACCTATTTGAAAAAAATAAGAATTTTGTGGGAGAAATTACAACAAAAAACCATCAAATTTAACATTGAAGTTAACAAAGCGAACAGATATTACAATTTCATACATTTACCATACATTTTCTGATGAATAGTCAAGATTAATAAATAGTTGATTCAGTCAAATATGGTGATTGTTGAATTTTCTAAATATTTATGGGTGAAATGGTATTAAGAAAATATTTACAATGTTTTGAAAAAAATCATTTAAAAAAGATTTTTTTTTGCAATCATTCGACATATGTTTTAAAACGCCACATCGTAAGTTAGGAGGATAAATATATTCAAAGTTCTTAAATAGAATTCTTTTTTTTAAAATGGAACCTTTAATGTTTTTAAACAGCCTTACAACTCTTCGACTTCGTCTTTGATTTGGTCTTCCTTCTTTTTTATTCGAGCGCCACTGATGAGTCTGATGTATACGCGTTAACTTTGACGTAACACATCATATTCCTGGTATCTTTGATGAGTTTGTACTATAACAACTTGCATTAGAAAGGAATATAATAAAATTTCAGTGGTCAATGATCTCTACACAAATGACTCCGCAATAGTTTCTACGATTTGACGCTTAAAACATGCACTCTGCCTGAACATTGTATATACCGAACACGTTTTTGTCCTTTGATCTTCAGTGAATAGGTTCATTGCAATCATCTCACATTGCCTTGTTTCAATCTGGAACGTTTGTTTTTTTGTAAATACAGTAAATATGAATATTTAAGTGTGGTTCAAATGTCGATTTCTTCCACCTTGTTGATTTGAAGAATATTCTATTATGCAATACTGTACTCTTCAGTTGAAAGCAACCAAAAACCAAGTTTTGTCAATATCATACAAAAATGAAAATAATACATTCCTTTTTTCATCGTATACAGTTAATTATTGGAAACCTAAGTTCTTTTCTTTCATCAAATTTTCGATGAGATAATTATTCTGAGAGTCCACCAATTATAATTTTCTTATAAGAGTTTTTTTACACCAGGGCAT